GCTTAAAATGCACATGAACAGTTATACAAAAAAATGTTTTTATATACTTATTATATAGTATTTTCTAGTTAAAAACTAAGACACAAACACGTTAGACTAGGCTTACATAGGACCAGGATCTTCAGTATCATGGTCCCCCACCTCCATATCTTTTCCCACTGAAGGTCTCCAGGGGCACCAACACAAATGGAGCTGTAATCTCCTAAGGTACCAATGCCTTCTGGGATTCCTAGTGAAGAACTTGCCTGAGGCTGTTTTACAGTTAACTTTTTTTCTATAAATAAAAGGAGCCCATTAAAATAATAATAAAGAGCATACTATAGCAAATATATAAATCAGTAACAGACATTTATTTTCCTTATCAAGTATTATGTACTTCACATAATTGTGAGTGGCTGTACTTTTGTACTCCCATTAGTGCTTTAGGTTTGTTTAAATCAGTGTCACCAAAAATCCATGAGTTATGCATTGTGCTGAGATATTACTATGGCTGTTATATCACTAAGCAACAGAATTTTTTAAATTCCATTTTAATCTTATGGAATCACTGTCATATTTATAGTGTATCATTAATGAACATATTATGTGGTATATTACTGTATTCTTTTTAAAAAATATTTATAGTTGTAGATGAACACAATACCCTTGTTTTAGTTTTTTTATATGCAGTGCTAGGCAAGCACTCTACCCCAGCCCATGACTGTATTCTTGTTGCTCATTGAATATTAGAGAATCATTCTAAGTCATTTGTGTTGTTTTATATATCTCCTTTAGGGTCTATTGTTTGAGTTCTGTCGGTTTCTTTTGGAGGCATCATGGTTTCCTGATTCTTTGTAATCCTGTTTCTTGCATTGGTGTCCACACATTTGAGGAGATAGCTACCTCTTCTTTTACAGGTATTCTTTGGCAAGAATCTTCACTATTTAGTTTAGCTGTGACTCTGGATGGACTAAATGATAATGACTCTAGGCAGGCATTGTATGCTTCCAGTTTCTCTAGTGTGTGGCCCACTTTCTTTGCTCTGAGTTTGAATGGTTCAGGTGGCTGGTCTCTGCCATCTGACTGAGCTCTGTAGTCAGGCTACAGCTGCCTCTGATTGAACTTGACCTCAAAGCATATTCTCTAGCTAGATGGTACCACTGTTTGAGTTCATCAGTTGGACAAGGTGCAGGAGGTGCCCTGAAGTTGGGTGGACTCACTGATTGGGATGGATGGGGCCAATTGCTATCTTCAGTGGATATGCATATTTGAGGTTTGCCTCCCTGCCTAGGCAGGGCTTGAAGATGGACTTTGGGTTGAACACTTTTAAACTTTTTGATATGGCAAATCTAACCCCTGCTCTTTGCAAAAAATTGCTGCTATAGTTTTCTCCCTCCTTATGTGGAGCCCTAGGTTAAGGTTCAGTGATGGTCCTGCAGACTTGATATTCAAGGATTCAAGCCAGGTAAAAATCACCACTTCTAGTACTGACCAGTGGAGCTTTTCAGATGGGCTTGACTGTCAGCATATACTTCTGACTGGGCAGTATGCTGGCAGGTACATAGAACTACCACCAAGATCTGCATGCTGACTACTGTGAAGTCTGTCTCCCTTCTTTGTTTCCACTCTACTCCTGGTGGTCTAACCATGACATTTATCCCTGTGTTCCCCATTAGGTGGAATAGGTGGGGGCTTCCTGAGGAGCATCTCAAAGAGGTAGAGGAGCTGGATTTCACCTCTGGTTCTCTTTTCCCTCTTTATAGTAAATTGTTGTCCCTGGGGGAAACTTCTTTGTTGGACTCTGTGTCCACTTGGAGAGGGAGAAGGGTGATGCACAGTGAGACCATTTCTCTTACCCTTTTTATGCAGTTTTTATTCAGTTCTGTGGACCATAAGGTGTCTCAAGCAGATTGTCTATTGTTATTTTTTGTCCACTAAGGTGTTCTCTTGGGATAGTTGCTGTTTGGCCTTTCTATGGGGTAGTGAACTTGGGCCTTCTATTCTTCTATCTTACTGATCTTCAGTTAGAAATTCTTGACATCCCCTTTTCTTTTTAAAATTCTAATCATTCCTTGATATTCATGGCCTTACATAATCCTGATTCCTGCTCTTGCACCTGTGCCTCCATTTCCTGTTTCCCTGACCATTTCTGGGATTTACTCAGTCCTCAGTCTTTGCCTCTCAATCTTGCCCGCCTCTTCTGAACTTTTTTGTTCTCTCCAGTCATCTCCCACCTCCTCTTTCCCAGTCTGAAATGCTACTTAGACTTTAGGGCTTACTTTCCAACTGCCTTTGCAGATCAACACTTTGGATGCCCTTCTGTTATCTCAAACTCAGCATATTTTAAAAGCTAACTTATAGTTCCTAAAAAATTTACTTCTCCATTTCTTCCAGTAAGCATATGTACTACCAGACACAGCAAGGGCTCAGTTAATGTTCTTATTATCCCAGGGAAAACCACACACACCTCTTCATTTATCTTCTCAAAGCTTTCTCTAGTATATCACAATATGTTTTTTTAACTCTGCATTTAAAAATAATATGTAATAAGTATAATTTATATGCAGTGAAATATGCTAATCTTACATATAAAATTCATTTAATTTTATAAAAGCATACATGCTTGTAACCAGCATCCCATCAAATATAGAACATTCCTGTCACCATAGAAAATCCTATTCTGCACCTCTCCCAGAAGCAAGTGCTGTTCTGATATAAATCAACAAAGACGGGTTTTCTTTGAAATTTTAAACAAATATGTTCATATCACTCAATTTGTAGACTTTTTCTTTGTTTCTAGGGTCTGTTTCTCAGCATTGTTTTAGAGATTTGTCCATTATTGTTGTGGGAATCAGCAATTCATTCCTTTTTAGAGTATTCCATTGTATAAAAGAATCATTTTATACAATGATAAATGTTTTGAACATAATGTATTTTGTATATTAAGAAATAATTTTATTAGGTGGTAATGACAGTACAGGTCAAACAGTTTTATCTGTTGAGCTATACTAAAGTATTTACAGAAGAAATAAGGTATCTGATTTGCTTTAAAATAGTTTTAATAACAAGTGGATAAAACAAGATTGACAAAATGTTGATAATTGTTGAAAAAGGGTTCATTTTACTGAACTGTCTCTAACTTTCTTTGTTTTTGTAATAAATAGTTGAGACATGAAAAACATATATATTGACCCTAAGTGAGAGTTCTGGCTCTGAAGAAAACTGAAAATGTGGCTGAGATTGGTCACCTAAAATCATATTGGTGGTTCTTTCTGTCATTATCACTATAGTGAAAAGGATTTTTGCCTCATACTTCTAATCTCATTTGAACACCTTCCCCGGGGAGCTGGTGACTTCAGTGTGCAAAATCAGAGCTGGGCACTTCTTGCCTTATTTTTTTCCCGTAGCAGGCTGGAAAGTCTTCCCTTCCCAGAAGGGATTTGATTGCATTCATCCTTTTAAGGAAGGATGTTCTGATATAAAACTGAATGAACATGGGGAGAACATTGTGGCCTGCCAGTGGTTTACTCTGATTCAAGCTGTATGTAGATGGCTGCTCATGGGTCACCTCTGCTTTCTGAAGAGCCACTTCCTTCTCTGCTGCTCCAGGCTGGACACCACCAGTTTTCTGTATGATATGCTATAAATTCCTCAGGAACCCCAGAAGGGATACACCTTCTCTTGCAGTACATGCTTACCAAATACTTCATTTTAAAGTCTTTCTACCCCATCTGCATCTCAGGGATGACAAGTACTATTTCATAGCATGCACAAAAGTGATGCATAATAGCTGTATGGAGAATGCCTGGTCATGCCTGGTTTCTCTGCACCTTGTCATTGGTGATATGTGCTATAAGACTTTGTCATTTAATAAAGAGACTTTGACAATAATTCATTCTACTTTCTCTTCAAGTGTATTTATCTTCAACCTTAGGGCTCATTTTTTTTTTTTTTTAAAAAAGCACCTTGTTAATTGTGTCTTATACCTGTTTTTGCCACAAGGAGTACAGTTTTGATGACTTTGTAATTTTGGTGTGTCTTTGCCTTTAATGACAACTAGTTGCTTTTATAGTTGACAAGAAAACTAGATTGGTTTGCTGGAAGCAACAATATGCCCTGTCTGGAAGAGATGCCAAAGCTTGAATGGCTGTGGCTGGCAGGGTTTCCATTCATTTGACCTGGGGGCTGGGGGCAAATGGATTGTGGATCGAACGCCATCCAGCTTTCAATACATGTTGTATTTCTTTACCATTCTCTCCCATAATCTGCTTGTGTAAGACATTGTTTTTGGAAAAAAAAAAATTTAAAGAACATTTTGATGTTTCACTGGTGCCCAAGGTCTTATTCATTATTTAGTTTTACATCATTTTATTTTAATCACATTTATATCTCATTCATTTTTATAAATTCAAAGGCTAATGCTAAATAATAATAACAATAAAAATGCCAAATTAAATGTAAATAATAATGTTACCAAAATGTGAAAATGTATTTGTTATGGCAGATATCATAAAACTAAAAGTTGATGAGAACCAGCTGTACTTTTAATAGGTTTGCAGAGTCAAAATGATAGGACATGGCAATTTCTAAATTTTAAATTTCTTAAAATCATTATTAATCTTACATTGTTGAAATTCATGAGAAAAAATTGCTTTTCTGCATTATCTTCTGGAAATAACCCACTTACTACTTATAGACCTCATGAGATGATGGGTCCCATCATGGTCCCTAATTTTTTAATTGAAGAATGCTGACCTCCAATGGGGAATCTGGGGACAGCATGTTTGTGAATAACACTTTTTCCTTCAGTGTCAGAATCCTCTGATTATTCTCTAAGTGTGTTTTGGGAACCCTTGCATCAGAATCACTTGCATCTTAAATAGCTTGCCCAGTGAATATAGTTAAGTGTACTGCTTAGGATTGGAAGTTTATGCAACATAGAGTAAGAATGCCTCTCTGTGTGGTTCATGTGATACATTGTTTTATGATGAGTGTTTTTTCCTTTTTTTTTTTATCCTCAGGACTTGTCGGTCACGTCTGTAATCTATTCACTGAAACTGCCACACTGTGCTTGGATGTGGACAATAAAAACAACAATGAGATGGCAGCCACACTGCTATTTTCCCTGCTTGATATTTTGCATGGCATACTGACGTATACATCCAGCATTGTACGCCTGGCTTTGCAGGTAGAGAATCACTTTTCTTACATCTTGAACAATCCTACTCCAAGTCACACTTTCCTCTTTGTTGTTTCTGATGAGTATTATCATTTTAAAAATAACATTTTATTCAAGACTACGAAAAGCCAACTTGGGATGACAAATGTCAAGAGAAGATTTGATCACAAAATCCTAAGGGAAGGCAAGAGAGGCATAGTAAGCAAAGACTTAGCATTAGTTGGGAAATTACTTCTGTCTAAGGAAAGCACTTCCCTGAGGTTCATCCTAGGGCAGGCCAAGTAGGGTGCAGACTTTCATGTCCAGAATTCATCAGCAGGAGGGGTTAGCTTTCTAGAAATAATGGATTGGAAGTTTTTGCACTCACACACATTTGATGTAATAAGATACATGTAAACATGTGTGTATATCATATAAACTTTCTCATTTGCTTTCCCTTATAACTATTAACATGGAATTGTGAGGTGATTTGAAGAATCAGAGGTATATTCATTGGCTACAGAAAAATTCAGTTGGGCCTGAAGTCTAACTGTGCTTACTTAGTATCATGTCCTAAGGACAGAAGGAGATGTGGTTTTATTGAGTGCTTTCATGTGATATGTCTCCACATGCCTAATTCATTTGATGTTCTCTCCTAGCCAACTGACTCAGCTGATTTCTTAGATCAAGAGAAAGGCACATAGCCAATGTTAATTCATTGTGATGTTTAAAAGCCTGGTAAAATTACAAGAGAGGTATATCAAATAGTAGCATCCTAGCTCAGATATATGCAGGAGCTAAAGTTGAACTGAACTGTTTTGATACCTTGCCAGGAGTCAGAGTAGCAGAGCCAAGAATGAATCCCTAGACCCTAGGTTATCACTATGATATATGGTATCTTTTATGCACTGTTAAGCCAGTCAAGTATTTGGCTTGTCGAGTATGATTTAATAAATAATTCCACAATCCTTGGAACAAATCTGGTAGTTACTAAGTGTTCAACCCAAATTATAAAGCCAGTAAGTTAACATGGCCTTCGTATTATCTTGTTATTTTTATTTGCTCATCTATAATCATCTTAAATTAACAGAAAAGCATTTTAAGTATTTTGGGAATCTTGAGTTACTGTATTTTTTTCTAGCTTTTCCTTTTTTCTACAGAGTCTGTCTTCAGAGAATATAAAACTACAGTGGTAGTTTTATGGAATTCTTCAAGAGATAAATGCCTTGGTGATATCAGTCTATAAAAGACTATGTCTTGTAAATTGTAGGTTAATAAAAAGGATCAGAAGTTAAAAAGCCCAGATAATAGAAATTCTCCTTTGTCACAAGTGATGAGATATATATTTAGGGGTATTTAAAAGAAAACTCCTTAATACAAATGTTTTCAAATTATCTTTTTTTCCGTTGGCTACTGTGCCAATAGATCATTGGTTTTAATTTTTTCATAATTTTTAACACTGCCTTTTAATGCTATCATCTTTCTGAATCCTTCCTTATAATATCTGTCACATATTGCTTTGGCCTCGACCTCTGGCTTTGATCTCCATGATACCTGGCAACAGTCTGAAAGAGGTAGAGTCCTTGAGACTGAGTTAGGGGAAAGAGTTGGGGAAAGAAATGGAGTGCTCATCAAAGGCATAGCCACCTGAAACACGGAGCTGTAAGTACTTTGCAAAACCATCAGTCACCTTTTCCATTTACAAAATACTCCACACTAGGGATTCTTCTGCACTCAAAATCTCTATCTACTTTATATAGAAACTTCTTTAAAGTAGAATTGAAGAGTGGCAGTGTGTAAATTATAAAAGTGGTTAGATTTATGAAGTACTTTTCTTTTCCAAGGAAGAGAGTGGTTTGATCCATGAGTAGTGAGTGTAGGCAAGTGTCAGAATCTCCATCTAGAGTAAAATCACTGCCCCCAAGTTTCCCTGAGATTCAGCATTGGTCCAATTTTAACCCTCTGAGTGTTATGTGTGACATATAGAGAGGTAGAAAATAATGTGCTTTAGATTCACTGGTGTGGTGAAGTGTTGGGCCTTGCAAACTGGAATATCTTCTATTCAAGGGCCAAGCACACCTGTGTGGGCCTGAACAAATCACTTTACCTGTTTGAGTACCGCTTTTCTCATCTGTAAAGCAGATATGATAACTACTCTGCAGAGTTGTGGTGAAACTCAGTATGTATGTATAAATATTAAGTGTCTTACATATACTTGGCTCAGGAAGTTAGCCAGTAATTGGTTGCTGTATCATAAACAGCAACAAGAAGAAAGGTACTCAATTTCTTGTCTATAACGAGCTTACTGTGGACCATGACTTCCTCATTTCTGTGTCCTGCTGTGTGAGAGGGCCCTTAGTTCATATTTGCTGATTAACTCCTAGCAGGCTTGTGAGTTATTAGTTTGGTGGTTTATTTTGTACTTAGGAGCCTAGCATAGGGCTAGGCACCTATAATTTAAGTAGAGGTCAAGAAAGAAAAGGGTGTTCGCTGTCAGGGAGCTTACGGTTTAGTAAGGAAGATGGTCAATACACAAATAATAAGCCAATTTTCATTTTATTGTATTGAGAAAAATGCAACAATTGAAAGGTACAAGGTGCTGCAGAATGACTAATGGGAGAGGGGCCAAACTCAGTTTCGAGGCTGGGGATGGCCTTTCTAAGGAAGGTAAATATTTAGTAATATAACCCAGGTTACCAAACTTTCCGTTCCTAGGTTTTTTTCTGTCATTTCTGAAGTGGGTGTAGGAAAGCTTTTTACATTATTCTTTAGTTGTCTGTTCAACTGTTGATAATTTGCAGGTGTATTGTAGTGAGTGAAGGCAAGTGTCAGAATCTCCATTAGAAGACTGAGATAGGGTCACTGCATTTTAGTCTCACATGCATATAAAGCTTATCTATGATTGGGGAGGCCGTAGTTTCTATTTTTAGAATCTCTTGGAATTATCCAGTTTGACTCTTCTGTGGTCTTCCCCTTGAAGCTCTTCCCCATGAATTGTCCTGGCCCAGTTGTTGAGTGCAGGTGAAATTTTTCTGCCGTAGCCCATGGTCCTGATCATATCCTTCCCTTTGAAAACTTCAGTGACACCTCATTATCTATGACATATATTTACGACTCTCTGGGGAGACAGTGAGGCTCTTGTATGGTTCAGCCACATGATGTCTCATCTGCCAGGCTTCTATTGCTGCCCATACCCAAACCAAGCATTCCCATCACCATCTTCTAAGTGGATCCTGATTCTTGTTACTCCCTTGCCTTTCCTCGTGAAATCCCCAACTTCCGAAATTACATACTCCACATAGACTTTATTCAACATCATCCAAATGATGAAGTCATTTGCCATATTATGCCACCCAAACTTTGTTTTTATTTCTATTGTAGAAGTTTTGTACTGTCTTTTGTGAAGTTGTTTGGAAACTGGTTATCATTTAAATTTAATTGTGAATTCCTGGAGAGTAAAGACTGAGTCTTGGTCATCTCTGCATCAAGAGCATGCACATGAGAGCATCTGGGGAGCACAATGAGTGTGGAATTGGACTGATCTGGTCCACACCATGGACAGTTGTGCTGTAACATGTGCTTAAACCTACCAGCAACTGCATGGGTAGCAAACTGTCTCATTCTGTACAGATGGCCTCCCTTTGTGTTTATCAGCAGACCTCTTGGAGCACTTGCTTCTGTGCACTAGGTTCATGTAGCAATGGTAGACATCACAAAACTGTATTAATCCACACATTTTTATGCCAAGAAGTTGGCTATATTCTATCTCATATTATATCCTATTATATTGCTATTTAATATTAAACATTTAATAGTAAATGTTGATATCCCCAGGTTTTATATCTTAGGACTGTTAGATTTGTTATTTCTACCCAGACTTCTCAGAGAGATCCATATATATATATACAGCACCTTAATTATTGTGACCACCCCCTATCCCATAGTCCATAACTGAACTCGGGATTTGTCTTCCAAACCCATTCCCCTGCCAGCAAGTCATGCCACCCTCACCCTGCTGTGCAAACAAAAACCTGGGCATGCATCTTAAAATTTTCATTTTTCATATTCCACATATAATCTGTCATCAAATAATATAGATTTTACCTTAAATATCTAACATCCAATTACTCCTCTCAAATCTTAACCTAGACCACTATCTTCTCTCGCCTGAACTGTACCAGTTAGGTAGGTCAAGAATATCCGATGGCTAGTCATGGGAAAAGTTACTGTGTAGCAATGACAAGTGACAGTAAGTTCTAGAAAGGGGTTTGGAGCGCACAGAGGCTGACAGTGTAGAGACAGGAACCCTATGCAAGATGCACCCAAAGGGCCACAGATCTGGTTGTCAGAAGGCTCATTAGAGGAAGCATGATTCTGAGAAGTGAAGACATATTGAGAAGAGAGCAAACCTGGGCCTCTGCATTTGTTTGTTTTCTGTTCCACATAGCCCTTGCTGCACAGAGATTCCATTGTGTGCTGACACTTTTGTGAAGAGAATTGAATTTCTAAATGCATTCCTGTCATGCAATTCTCTGTGCTACAAAGCTGCAACATTCTCTCTCTGGAACCCATGACCATTGCTGGGCAGAGTCTAGATGTTTCTTGGCTCTAGTAATAAACAACTGTGCAGATCTTGGAGGATCCAGAGCACCACCAAACATCCTGGTGGAAAAGTTCCCCATTGTGGGCTTGCTCCTTTGCTCCATCTGCTTGCTTATGAGGTTTGGAAAGGAAGCAGGGACACCATGCCCCTTGCTGTTGCCTAAGTCCTGATTTGCAACACAGCCTTAGCCTTACCAAGAGGGAATCAATTTACTTTAAAGGAAGACATGTTAAATGTTTAGTGTGATAAGGCCAATATTCCATGTCAGACAATGCTTAAGAAAGCACAGGACCAACCGCCAAGATTCAAGAAGGTTCAGGCCTCTAGGACAGTGCAACACATTTATTTTCTGGGAGGAAGCTCTGCCTTTCCAATAGTGAGGTAGGTAAGAGGGAAGCTCCAAGCTTCCAAATTAATGATCACTATTGTTCCCCATAGCTGTAGAGAGGTGTATATCGCTAAAAGATAAGTATCTCATTTTAATTAAATATCAAGTCATTTTGAACCCCCCCACCCAAAAAAAAAGCAGACATCTGAAATTCTGTTCACTGCAGAAGCAAACTTGGCATTCATGAGAAAGATCTTGGAGTCCAGGTTAATGATCCAAGCATGTGCAGACTGCTCCGTGAGTTCAGGCAAAGGTCATCTAAAAGTGGTTTGTTTTTTTCTGAATAAAAGTAAAATCAGAGAGAAAAAGTATGAATGAAATATATACATCCTATGGCAAACACAATAAATATCAATATCACTTTTCAATATAAAACAATTCATCTCTATTATAGAAATGTCCTTTGGAATATGACAGTTCTATAAAACTCCTGGGAGATTTGCACTTAAAGTAAAAACCATTCACTCATTTCTTATTCTTAGGTAGTTTAAGCTTATATGTCATAAGAAATGTAGATCAGTATATGAAGCCTATTCATTCAGTGGTATATTAGGTAAATATTCTAGAAGGTGTTCTCTGTGCAGGTGTATGCATGCATGCAAAGAAAACATAGCAAAATTTAATTTTTTGTGTATATACACACACACACATACACACAGTGCATAAAAATACTAAGATTAGTATACATGAATTGGAATCAATAGCTTTGTCACTCATTATCTATGGGACTTTAGACAAATGACATAGTTTCTCTAAACTTCAGTCTTCTTACCTAAGAAATGGGGCTAAAGCACCTCATCTCAGGAAGGTAGGAAAGATAAAGTGCTTATCCTCTTCAGCATGTGGAGTGTCACCATCCTTTCTCCAGCAGCATTTCCTGTTATTTCTTTATCTGTGGGCTCACTGGTTTTCCTCTGTATCCTGAGCTGGTGGCAGTGGCAGCATGTGCACTGTTTGTCATGTTATATCTCTTCTGGGGCCTCTATGTCCTGTGTCAGGGACCCAGGCACAATGCTTCTCCAGACCCTTACGTCTGCTAGTCTGAGCGGATCTGTCTCCTATAGCTAAGCTGACTAATCACCAAGACCCATTTTTATTTATTTTCCCACTCTTCTAGGCCCAGAAGTCTGGTTTAGGAGGGGACACTCAGGCTGCCGAAGACCTGCTAGTGCTCTGCAAACCACTGACAGACCTCATTAGCCTGCTTATTCCACTGGTAAGAGCTCACCTGTTTATGTGTCTTTCAGAATATTTCTGAGGTTGAATTAATTTTATTTGAATTTCATGAACTTTTGAGTTTCTATGCTATTTTAATCCCCTTCAAAACCAGAACCAAAAGAACTTTGAAAGGTTTTTTTGCTCTGGAAATATAAATTTATGGTTTAAAACCAGGAAGCTTATCATTTATTTAAATACATATTTAAGTAAGGCAGAATCTCAAATCTAATTACTTTCTTAATGTGAGGTTAAAAAGAATTGAACAAATGAATTCCAAGAAGGAAGAGTAAATCATTATGGGAATCAATTCCCTTTCCAAAGGAGATTTTGGAATTACACTTGGCTTGCAGGACTCTCCAGAAACTTGAAAACACAGACATAGACCTGGGGCACCTTCTTTTTCAACCCCAACAAAAATGGAACATTTAAAATAGGTGAAATTAAATAAAAATGGGTGAGACTACACAAGACAACTGAAGATATGAAAAGAACCCAACAGAAACTCAGAATTTGGACCACCTGAACAGTTTTGAATAAATTTAAAGAGGACCCAACATACAGTACTTGCCCTTCAACAGAGCAGCCAGCCAGAGGGCCTGTTGATGGAATTCCATAGAAGCTCCTGAAGAGTGGAGGCAGCCTTGTGGCTCCAAGGATGACAGCACAAACAACCCAAGGAAATGCATCTCTATGGCTGCCACCCTTCACAGAGGCAGGCAGCTTTGAGTGCTGGGAAAACTGCTGGATTTACCCTGTGGCTTCAATGAGGACAGATGCAGTTTTGATGAATAATTCTGCAGTCTTAGTTGTATCCGATAAGTAAAAGTTTGTTTCAACTAAGGGAAATTTTAAAAAGGGAAAAATCACTACTGATTTATATTAAATAAATAAGGAATAGAGCAGTCACCAAAAATGTGGCCCATAGGCTTACAATGAAGTGAGGGAAGGACACAAAATCCAGAGAACTAGACAGATCTTTGGTATAGAATGTTGCATGAAGTTACAGGACAGCAGCAAAATTGCTACATCACGGAATGTCGGCTGAATCCTGTCCTCTCACAGAAAAGGGAAGGAAACAAAGCAGGCTTCTGTGAACAGAGAGGGAAAACTAATAAACTACACAGCTTGAAGGATGTATAAAAGATGTAAAAATGCCCTATTGAAGATAAGTAAATGGACACAATATGTGATATAAGATAATACCTACATTTATAACAAAAAGGTTAAAAATAGTTTAAGAAAGACTGAAGGGAAACTCTGAGTGCACTCTATTTCACATGTATATTTTATAGATATGGTTTCAGTGTTTGCCACAGTCTGAGATTTTTTTTTCCTTTTAATAGGTGAGTTTATTCCAGTTGAACTCATTTATTCTTAATGTACTTATTGAAACTTATATATATATATAATGCAAAAAAAATCCTCTTTAACAGGAAAAGAGGGATCGTATAAAGAATAAAGTCCATAAGAAGATATAACTGCTATGAACCTTTTTGTATCAAATGTGTGGGATTGTATAAAATGAGAAGAACTAAAAACATAGGGAGGAATCCAATTGTATTGAAATATTGAACATACGTTTTTCATTGCTTGACAGAGCAGGGATTGGCCTGTGGGTTAAATCTAGCCTACACCCTGTTTCTGTAAATAAAGTTTATTGGTTCTGGTGATCAGCTACACAATTCATTTACACATTGTCTGTGGCTGCTTTGCCTCCTAATGGCAGTTGTAACAGAATAGTTATAACAGAAACCCTATATCCCATAAACCTATATTAATTACTCTCTAGCTCTTTAGACGTTTGTTGGCAGCTGCTATAGACAATATGAGTATTTTAGTAAGATTGATCTAATAGGAAAATATTCATCTCCACACTCTGAAAATAGAGACTGTACCATCTTTATTTTCTGGGAAGCATCTTTTAAAAGTTGACCAACTATTGTGTTAAAAGAGTATCAATAAATTCCAGTATGTAATAATTGTATAGGCTAAAATCTTTACCCCAAAATATAATAAAATTAGAAGGAAAATAAAGATAATATAAAATGCACTATTATAAATACTACCCATAAGTACAGGAATAAAATGTTGTTATTATGTCATTCTGAGCCTAATCAGGATACAGAAAGCACACAATGATTTAAACAGAAAAATTTTAATATAAAGAATTATTAAGCTATGATAGAATATCTCTAAGATTTTAAAAGAGGTACTCTAAAACTGAGGTGAAAGGACAAACTTGAAAGGCATAGATCAGACTTCAATCGAGAGGGCAGGGTGCAGCCCACAATATAGTGGCAAAGTCTGTTGGGTTGCAAAGCCCAGAGCTGCCCACAGTCCACAAGAGAGCAGAAGACAAACCCCCAGGGATCAGGAGAATCAGAGCCAGGGGTGGGCATGCAGGCAAGGGCAGGTGTCACTGTGGGCAGAAGACTTGGAGTGCTCAGTGCCTGTAGGAAGGTCCACAGAGGGTGGCACCTTTGTAGGATGTAGACAGACAGAAGGAATTAGGGTGCTAGTGAATGTGGGGAAGCTTGGAGTGCACAGTATCCTTGTTGCGAAAGCAGTAGGATAATAACCTTGGCTAGGACTGGGGATCCTTGAGGGACTTTGAGTCCTGGGCACATGGTGTAGACAGCCCATGACCAATGCCATTACACCCACACTTATTAGTGGTGTGGTCACCAGAACCAGCAAGAGAACCCCTGGCTCCTATAATGTGCCTTAAGTGCCCTCTATAGAGGAAAGTAACAGTCTTACTCTGAAGGAGGGAGGCTTTAAGGAAATCTGCCCATCATCACAAAACATGTACTGAAGGATACAGATGGAACCAATGGCAAGCAATGAATTTCTGGCACAGTGATCAAATTGAGCTCACTCCAGAAAGTAAGATGACCCACTGTTAGGAAATCTAACATTCTCCAAAGTCAAGTGGCTTTTATATCCTTCCAGCAATGGATGAGAGCTCTTGTCCCAGATATTATTAGTTCTTTTTTAAAAAAAATATTTTAAATATTTGACCATCTTAAAATAGTGTGGTAATGCCTCATTGTGATTTCAAATTGCATTTCAGTAATGATGAATAGTATTGAGCATCTTTTCATGTGTTTATTTTCCAATATTTATATTATTAAAGATATTTTTGTAATCTGAACTTCCTTCATAAAATGAATATATTAAAAGTAAATTGAGTTACTTTTTAAAAAACTTTTAAACATATCATTTCAGTGTCTATAAAATTTTCCAATGTTTTTAAGTCAAATTGTTGTTCCCTGGAATAATTTTAAATTAATTTTAGCTTTATTTTTTTCCAATTAACTCCAAAGTCTTTTTATGTAAAGAACATTCAGTCACCCTTTCTCAAATGAAACTTTCTTTTGTTATCTACATTCCATGCAATCACAAATTCAAAATGACATGGAAGATAAAATACAAGAAGTAGGTAAAAGTAAAACAATAACAGCAGCAAGGAAAGCCAGTATTGCATGGAACTTCTGGGCACAAGTGCCACCTAGCTTTGCCAATTACCAATTGTCACATTGGGCAAATATTAAATAGCAATACTTGTTATTTAATTTATGGATTCCATAGTTTCCTCACCTTTAAAATAGGGTTAATAATACTGACTAGATAATGAGGATATTATGGGGATTAAGTGAACAGTACCTGACACATAGTAAGTACTGAACAAATATATCTCCTATGAAAGTGATTTCATATTTGCCACATGGTATCCTGTGCTTCAGTGAGCTAGGTTCTGCTCTCAGTGCTTTTTACCTCTGGTCTCATTTAGTCCTTCCTTATTTATGATGAAAAGCCCATCCTCACCTTACAAATAAGAACCCTAAAGCTTACAGAATATATAATACAGAATAATAGGGCTAGATGTCTGATCTCAAAGCCCACACTTTCCCCACTACAATTCTAGTTGTCAACTCTTGGAAATACTCTCGTTGAAACATAATCTACTGGATTAGAAATCCATTCTGTATTTTTTTTTTTAAGTTTTGAAAAAAGCCCTTAGTTAGGAGTCATCTCCAGATGCAATTTGCATAGTTTAGGGAGAGATTCTGAATGAGGCTACTTTTGCGTTTTGTCCCGAAAACAATAAGAAACACATGAATGACGAAAAGTGCTTGTAGACTTCATAAATCATTTTTTGTTTAGGAAAGATAAAAGTTATCTTACACTTCTACTTTATGAGTCATATCCAATTCCTTAGAGTTAATTAGGAAATATAAATGATTAAGATGTGCTTTCAAAATGCAGGGAACAGCCTCACCCAGTAGCTGATGAGCTTGACTCTGCCTATACTTGTAATAACTGCCCTGTTACATGGCTCATTGCCGAGTTTGAGTGATTAGACTTAAATCTCAAAAGGGAGTAGGCAGTCCCATCTCCTGTCGTGGAGGAATTTGCATCTTTCAGAATTGTTTGTTGAACAGGTGTCTATCCCAGGTAATTGAATTTTAACAACCAGAACAGGCCATGATGAAAAATTCTTGGAGTGTTAAGAGTAGAGACTGAAGCTTACAATGCAGACTTGATGCTTCAGGGGCCTAGGTGCTGCTTGGGGAGTTTTCTATCGATTCTGAGGTCATTGAAGGGCAGAGAACCAGGAACTTTGAGCAGACAGGTGATTGTCTGCCGGTAGCACAGGTGTGTTAAACAGGGTGATAGGCATCTGCCATGTTCAAAATCGGAAGGTTTTACCTGAAGGCTGACTTTAGGAGTTTCTGTGATAAAGGAAGGAGGTCAGCTTAGAACCCATGACATGGTCTTTTGTGTTGATATTTTAGGATTTTTCATTTAAATATTTAACATGCTTTATGTATTCTTCCCCTATCCTTTTCCTGCCTTTTGTAAGATTGAAGCACAACTTTGGGTTCTACCTTCGGGGCTAACGCCTTTTTTCTTTCTTTTAAATGCCTTTGTGATACATTGAATTACATAAAAATGCCAGTGTCTGGCCATTGGGGCTTTACAAAAGTGGCATTT